CACAACAATCACTTCGTCAGGTTAAGTGTATGCCATCCTCCCCATTTGTGAGTGATCCACGCCTTACAACAAATTATAGATGGGATCCGTGTGGTTCTTTGTAAACAACTTTTTAAAAGTTCATTGCTTTTAAACTATAAAGTGATTTTCTGTTCAAATCTATTTTGTTTCCATGATGCAAGCAGCTAATTGTTTTGAAGGAAGGTATTAAAAGTTTTGATTTAGATAAGATTATCAATTGTATAAGAAACACTAAGTTATTGCAGATATTATTTACTAGACATCAGTCTTTGAGTTCATACTGTGCTTGAAAGAAAGTAGATGTTTTAACCTGATAAATGTTAGTGTCTGCTTGCTATTGGCAGAAAGAAAATATATTATAATGCATCCATCCCCATTTCTTAATTAGCTTGTTTGCCTAGCTTAATTTCCTTTGAAACAGGAGAGACTGAATAGCAACCATCTATTTTTGCTATTTTCTTAGGGTAATTAAAACATAACGGAATATAGTATGAGATTGTCAAAAGATACACTTTGTAAGATCTTAGGAATTATAATTGGAAGAAGAAAATCCTGGGGTAATTCTTAACACAAATTAAGTTTCATAGTCCTTTGAAATCACTTTCCCTCCTGTTTGAATGGGGGGGGGGGGTACTTGTGTTTACTTGATGTGACTAGCAAAGGACATAAAGCCAGGACTTGACCCTGGCTAACAGAAGTCAGCAATCATGCCTTAGGCAAGGCTTTACTTAAGTTCACAAATTCAGTAAAATATCTTTAGCTAGCATTTAAAGGATTATAACTTTTAAGTTAGAATTTTAAGACATGTTTAAAGGTATTAGTTTCCCACTAATACAACTTATTTCTCCCCCACTAAAAGTTTTCCACCTATCTAGGATGAGAAAAATAAAATACTTTTTAAATAAAAGTGTTAATATAGTTATTTCAATTTTCCTTCTAATTTCTGAAGAAAAATAATTGAATGTCTTGTGACATTGAAATATATAGAGCTAACATTCAGCTTAATTAAATTTCACACCAGGTAATCAAACTTTAAATATGATAATCAGATTTATAGATAAATTATTTCATAATGAATGAATTAAAAATTATGCAAGGGTTGTTTAAATACACCTTTTACTATGATGAAATCATTTGAATTACTGTTGCCATCATACTGCATTATATGTTATAATCTTTATATTGAGAGGATTCGTTCAAGTGTATATTAATTACTCCTCTCTTGATTTCAAAGTTCTATTGTTAAAAAACTCACTATTATGGAGAATTTTGACTGGAGTATTCAGTATACTATAATTGAATCCTGCTTTGAAAGAATGTCTGTTCTTCAAGTTTGTTTTGCATTAGGATGAAGGCTCAGATGTTTGAACTGTTAGATTCACATGCTAGTTTGTAAAATTTGAGCAGAACTTTATTAAACACTATATAACTTGAGGTATCCTATAATCTAGTTCAACTTTAGGTTTTTTGTTTGTATATTTTTTTCACAAATATACTCTAACCAAGTTCATTTTGAACCTCTTTTAACAGCCTTGCTTTGGGTTAGCCCTCGTTTCTCTTGTGTGGAGGAGAAAACACCCAAGAGGTTGGGGTTCCTAGTGGCTGAATTTCTAGGGCTTGGCCTGTTCTGAGTTTTCCCTTTGGTACCCATGACACAGCTATCATGGCGATGTAGACCCTGGTTGGCTCACAGCTCGATTGGCTAGCACAGGTCAACCTCAGGTTCTAGAGCCACTTCCGGAGACTTTCCGATGCTTTCAGGGTCTTTGGTACCTTCCCCTGAAGCACATTGCTATGCTCCATTCCTCTGCCCCTCCCATGTAAGGGAGTTCCTCTTGAACTGCTAGGCAATTATTGGACAAGCGACTCTTTGCTTAAGGGTACCTGCTTATATCATCTGAACACTTGTGGTATGTTATGGTAAGTAGCCTCTGGCTATAAAATGTCAGCTATTATTGGGACATTTTGTAAAAGTTAAGAAATAATGCATAAACAACTTTTTAAAAACGTCTTTAACACTTAGTTACATAGCATTGCAAAATAAACGAAGTCTCAATTACATTAAATGCAAGTCTCTGTTAAAATAACACTAAGGTTGTGGCACGGACTGACAAAAGCCATAAAAATTTAATGCTATCTTTTGACAGGTTGTGACAGAATCTTAGCATTAACTTAATAAAGACATTTGTGTTTAATTTTTATAGATTGGGACATAGAATGTTTCTAGGCAAACTTTGAATATACAAGTGAACTGAGATTTCAGGCAATCAAATGCTTGCATTTAATAACACCATGCATATATTCATAGTTAAAATACATGTTATAATACTTTAGGCATTATAGAAGGTATGTCTTAATTGTACAAATTAGTTTAATTTTTCTCATAGTTATAGCATATGGCATTTGGCTATAGTTTGTTAACTATTAAGTCCTGTTTAACAGTGCATCTTGAGTCTTAATGCTCATTTCCTAATCTGCACCCTCAACTCTTACTGCAGGATTTGAAAGACTTCATGAGGAAAGCTGGGGAAGTTACTTTTGTGGATGCTCACAGAAACAATCCAAATGAAGGGTAAGTTGAAATTTTGCATCAACTGAGGCTGGGAGGGCTTTAAAGACCAGACCTTCCACCATACTGCTTAACAGACAACTTTGTTCCAGAATATAACTGAAAATACTATTAAAATTAGATTCCAGAATCAGCACAGACTTGATCAGATCAGATCTGCATCCTACTTATTGGGATCATGGATTTTTTCTGAATGTTACTAACTAGAAAACCCAAAAATCTGTTAACTGTTTTTATTATATGTAGAATCAGTAGAAAACCACTGAGAGAAACAACTCCTTTTAATATCTTGTTTAAAAATTGTTTCCTACACAATCATTTGCTAAAAACAGAAAATTTTCCATGGAGAAGTTCTAAAGAACATACAGAAAAAATATTTCATGTCTGTTATGTTCTGAAATTGTAAAATTTTAGGCTCAGGTATTGGAGTTGGGAGAAACTAAGATGACAAGTAATGTCTTTATAATTCTGTGAAAGAAGAAATGTAATATACTTTTATCACCACTAATAATTTTTATTGTAATTTTGCTAATGAATCAACAGTGTGGTAGAGTTTGCATCATCCAGTGACATGAAGAGTGCAATGGATAAATTGGATGGCAGTGAGTTGAATGGACGTAGAATTAAACTAATTGAAGATCGCAAAAGGCGCAGGTATCTTTTTAGATAAAAACACAATACGAATGGCAATAAAATAATTTGGAATATTTATATGATAATTCAGGGAATGTTGCAGAAGCAATATTATTGTATCCCCAAATTTTTCTACCAAAGCATAAATTTTCTGTCATTTTTCATTTGGTATTATTTTGCACAAATCCTCTAGAGCAGGGGTGGGCAAACTTTTTGGCTCGGGGGCCGCATTGACTTTTAAAATTTGACAGACGGGCCGGGTCAGCACAAGATTTTTTGGGAATCGCCCCCTCTTCCCCCCCTCTTCTCCTCCTTCCCCTCCCCTCGGAGGCCCCCTGAGTCAGGAGTTGCTACCGCCGGCGCGGCTCCGTGCGGCTCCAGTCCCGCATTGCCTCGGGAAGGGAAAGGCAAAAAGGAAGAGCCGCGGCGGTGCTTTGCAACGGGAGCAGCGGCACCGGAGGCTCAGGCTCAGCGGCTCCTGGTTTTGCCTTTTCCTTCCCAAGGCAACGCGGGACTGGAGCCGCACGGAGCTGCGCCGGCGGTAGCAACTCCTCACAGCCCCAGCCAGACACCTGAGCGGAGCCTGGGCGAAACTGCCTGTTGCTGCTGCCGGAGCACCGCCGGGTCGCCTCCTCCAAGCAGCTCGCCCGCCCGCCGGGCTTCCCCTCTGCCGCGCGGCTCGGGGCCAGGCGCGAGCGCCCCAGGCATGATATTCGTCCGATTAAAATCGGAATTCCGATTTTTTTGGGAATCGCCCCCTCCTTTCCCCCCACCCCTTCTTCTCCTCCTTCCCCTCCCCTCGGAGGCCCCGAGTCAGGAGTTGCTGGCGCGGCTCCGCGCGGCTCCAGTCCCGCGTTGCCTCAGGAAGGGAAAGGCAAAAAGGAAGAGCCGCGGCGGCGCTTTGCAATGGCAGCAGCGGCTCCTGGTTTTGCCTTTCCCTTCCCGAGGCAACGCGAGACTGGAGCCGCGTGGAGCTGCACCGGCGGTAGCAACTCCTGACAGCCCCAGCCGGATACCTGAGCGGAGCCCGGGCGGTGCGAGCAGAGGCCGCTGAGCGGCAGGAAAAGGGAGCTGGGCCAGCCACAGACCAGCCTCCGTGCAACACGCCGCCGCCTGGCCCCGGCGAGGGAAAGCAGCGGGCACTCCCCGGGCGCGCGGCAGGGGGTCTCTTTTGGCTGGCCCCGATTTTTTTTTCAGAGCGGAATATCATGCCTGGCGCCCGCGAGTTAAAACGAAGCCGAAAGTTGCTGGGAAGTTGCTCGGGTGCTGGGAGCAGGCTTTTAAAGTGCTGCCCGAGCAGGACCGCCGAGCCGGGAAATGGGGCACCAAGGCAGGGCAAGGCTCCACCAGCAGCGGCCTAGCTTTAGGTGGCTCCAAGCAGCCCGCCCCGCCCGCTGGGTGGAACCCTTCCCGCTCCTCGGCGGGAAGACGCTCCAGCCTGCAAGCTTTGCCTTTGCAAAGTTTAAGCCTGGAAGCCCCGAGAAAAAAAGGGGGATCGGCGGGGACTCACCTTCGGAGAGGTCGCACTCGAAGGTGATTTCGAACTCCCAGCCGAGGCCTTTGCAAATTTCTTTTCTTTCCTACCCCTAGATCGCTCTGCACTGTTTTGCAGCTTTGGGGGCCACGCGGCACAGGGCAATACGCCACACCCAGCGATTTTTTTTCAGGGGCGGGCCGGATTGGACAGACCAATGGCAGTGATTTTTTTTCAGGGGCGGGCCGCATTGGACAGACCAACGGGCCGGATGTGGCCCCCGGGCCGTAGTTTGCCCACCCCTGCTCTAGAGGCTCCATTTCACAGTTCAGGCAGCATCATTTGTACATTGTTGGCCAAAGCAAGTATGGCAAAATCTACAAGAGAGAATGATATGAGACATAAACAGTTAATGTATTGTTCAAAAACTTAGGAAAGAGAATAACCCATAAAACACAAACGAAAGCAACTAATTTGCTGCTTCTCCAATCATTTGTGAGCCACCCAGAGTAAATTAAGAGATTTGTATTGGTTGCCCATTTTAAATAAACACACTATGCCCAGGTTTCAGGGAAGGAAACCTTTTGAATTGTGAAATTTCTACTTGTTTTTTTACTAGGTTGGAGTTGTGTATGGAATTACTAGATAGGACAGAGGAATTACTGTTAATGGATAAATGGATGGATTTACTGAATTCTGCTAAAGTTGCAGAACAAAGCATTTCAAAATTACTTCTTTTTAAATACTGGTGCGTGTATTGTGTGCTATGCTGAAATTTAAATTTAAATGTGTAATTCTTGGAAATAGACTAGGGAAGAAAAATTAGCTATAAGCCAAGGAGCATATTCTTGGTGCTTCAAGAAGCAGTAAGTCCAGTGAAGTTGAAAGAGAAATCAAGAGAGAAACTTGCATTTTTCAGGATTTTCGGTAAATGCGTTACTAGAAAAATAAACTATAAAGAAAGTCCTTTAAAGACTAAGATCTTCAGACTTCTATATGATTTAAATTCTTTGATAAGAGATAAGCAAAATTGCACGCAAACATATTTGGTGAACACGAAAACCAATTATAGAATGTCATGCACAATGAAAACTAATGGCTGAATATTTATTAGGAGCCGGTCTCGTTCTCGAAGTTATTCAAGGTCTCGCAGCAAGTCCAGGTCTGCAAGATCCTCTAAGTCAACCAGCAAGTCTCGTTCTAAAAGCCGTACCCCAGAAAAAAGGGGCTCTCGAAGCCGTACACCTGAAAGGAAAAGCTCTGAAAAAAACCACTCTGGCACGCAGAATTCCTCTCCATCTCCACCACCAAAGAAGAGGTCTCGCTCAAGGTCAAGTTCTGCTGAAAGCTGTACTTAAAAAGATATTTTGAGAAATGTATAAATGTTTAATTTCCAAATCACATTTTCTACAAGCTTAAATAAGTTGTGGGTGGGGGTGCTCTCAAATGAGCACAGACATCTGAAGAGTACGTAGGTAGGTAAATTGTAAACAGTAAAAAAAAAAAAATTGGCAAATTATAATTACTCAAATGTACTATGCACTGTGTTGAGGCCTTGCTGAATAAAGTAGGACACATTGGGAGTGTTTTCCTCATTGGTATATTCAATGAATTTAAGACCTAGACTGTGGTGTTGCTTTTCGGAATCCTTTGTGCTTTGTACATTGATTGTTTTGTACTTAGCAACCAATAAACCACCAAGTTAACTACTAATGTGAAATTTGAAGGTGGACATAGCAGCTCTGTTTAATAGTGCACAGGAAAGTATGTTGATCTTGAATGATTAGTTGCTTATACTACACTAATATTTATGTATCAAAATAGCAAATCTCAGAAACGTTTAATGTTACCAGGTTAAGTTGCGATACCTTTTGGAATGCTAGTTTAAGTTAGTTCTTGGTTGAGAAGCGTGTTTCCACTTTGAGTTTGCTCTGGACTGGTAATGAATTTTTCATAATATTCCAAGTAGAAAGGAATCTTCAATACAGCAGTTCAGTAAAATATTTCATCCATTTATGAGAACGCTGTCATTTTGTAGAGGATGCCCTTAAAATTTAAAGACATGCTCCTCTTACTGAAGCTCCAAGTTTTTATTTTAATAGCATACAAGAGTATTGTTCTTTCTATATGGCTTCCAGTACAAAAGAGTAATTGTTAGAGGTACATGAAGTATTGGAAGCAGTAAATTGTCAAATATAATGGAAGATAATATTCAGTTGTCAAGGTAAGTAAAAGCTTAATGTATTTGTGATTTTATGAATGCTAAATTGTGAAATGGCATTTTTTTAGTTCTACAAAACATGATTTAGCTTTTATTAATAGCTAGTACTTTGCTAATCCTTAGCTTTGAGATCAACTAAATTATCTGGCTTCCATGTAGTTAAAATGAGGGAATCCATTTGAAATATTTGTAAGCAACCTTAAAAATGTTTAAATGTACCAATGTGCTATAGTATATAAATCTCCCCTGTATCTCCCATGCTTTCTGCAGCTTTGGCGGTCTTTGTGTTGCTCATTTAAGCTACATTGGTAAACTTTTCTTTGTTAACAACAGTTTTGTTTCCAATAAAATTGATAAACAAAGAAATCTTGTTTTGTCAGTCATTGTTCAAACAAGGATACAAGACTGGGGGATAAGGACTGAGATATTTATTATGCAAATTTATTTAAGTGTAATGTAAATTAGAGCACTTGGACAGTTGTAGTCATTCTGCATCTCCAAGTCTACTGTGTTTTTTTTAAACAGTAACCTTATTTTTTACAAGACATATTTCTGAAGCCACCATCAAATCAGACTTTATCAAATCTGGAGATTACCCATCTCACTCACAGAACAATCATATACTTATTCCCAGTTGGAATCATTGTAATTTACAAAACAATAGTTCTTTATTTAGGTAGAACATTAAAGATACATAATTATTCTGGTTGCTGTCTTCTATACTTCTCCAGCTGTATTATATTCACTTTCAAATGTGACCAACATCCTGCAGCCATTTTCCTTGTGTTCTCTTTCTCCCATGTTCTTCCAGTCCTATTCAGTCTCTGCTGTTGGTGGCTGTGCTGTTACTAGTATTGCACTGCAGTTGGGGGTACATCTTGGTTGGTTCTTTGGAGGACAGGATGTTTATCTTCTTGCCTCTGCTTCTCTTAGCTGTATGTTGTGAGCCTTTATTGAGTAGTCCCTTTTATTTATTTTTTAGTAATTTCACCAGCTGACTAACCTGCCAGAATTGTCTTGATCTTAGCCACTAACTTCATTTTCTGGGGATGGGGTATGTATTGCTGTTTTTCATGATTATGAAGCCAAGCATTTCCAGGTTCACAACAGCTATAGTATATACACTGATTTGCATTATGGTGGTAGTAGTGATTGTTAGAGATAGAGCCGTGGTGGCTTGGTTAGAATGCAATACTGCAAGCTAATTCTGCCAGCAGCTCAAGGTTGACTCAGCCTTCATCCTTCTGAGGTCAGTAAAATGAGAATGGGGGCAATATATTGATTCTGTAAACCATTTAGGCTGTAAAGCAGTTTTTAAGGCTAAATTCTATTGTTATTGCTGTGTGGACTCTAGTGGCATCTTCTAGCATGGTACATCTCCACTGAGCCCCGTAACTTCTCAAATGACTAGGGCTAGTTTACCTATTATCAGCTGCAGGGCTCTGCAATGGAAAGGTAGCAGTTACATTCCAGGTTCAAGTGTTGGCTACCCATCTACTTATTCTTCCAGGTCTACTTCAAGTCTGGGATATAATGTGTGGTGGTTCTATCTCAAACCGAAGCATTGATTAACTGGCTGTTTATCTTCTGTCCATCCATAGTTGCCTCAGATGTTTCATGTATCTCCTCTCATTAGGTCTACTGTTGTAATAGTATTTTATCAATTCCAGATTTTCTTGTTCATGTATGGATTGTTCCAGTTTGTTCCACTTGTCAAGACTATTCTGGTTCCCCAACTTCTGATGCAGATCTTGTTTTTTCGGGTCACATCTGAGCCAGCGTGACTTTCCTAGTTCGTGTCACTTATGTTTGAAGTAGGCAGATGAAGCCCAAGGACCTCTATTGGTAAGGTAGGTACTAGTAGGATTTGAACTCTTGTTTCTCACATCAAGGGGAGCATTCTAACCACTACAAATGCAGTCCTGTGTGCATATGTATATGACTTCATAAATGAAATATATGTATAACTTCATGCATATATAGGAAGATGGATGGATTCCCAATGTGCATCACTTGACATTTCCATAGAACTGCATGCACCATTCCCTAGTTTAAACAATGTCTTGTAGAACCCTTCAGTCATTTTTGGTTTCTACCATTGTAAGTAGTTTCTGAAAACTGGTCAAGCTCATCGTTTATGATTTATTTATAAAAGATTAAAACGCACCAATCCCACCATATGTTCCTGAGGAACTCTTCTTCCAAATTCCTTGCTGAATAAGCTGTCAATTCATATGCCTTTTTCTTCCATTTAAGCTTGTTAGATAAAAGAGCAAATACTTATCCAAGTACCCCTTAGACATTCTGAACTTCAAAAACGTCACAAAGATGGATTTGCTTTTGCCTTTGAGAAAGTTACACTGTTTTTTGCTCAGCAAGATTTGTCTCTTTAGGCTTAGTTACACTTTTACTTTGATTAGACTATTTTTGCTAACATGCCTGATGCAGAAGCTGACTAGTTTAGATCTCCCCACATCCCTTTGAAAAATCACAGGGAGAAAATCCTTGAACAAACATGAGGATCTGAGTTTTGGATATTGTAGATGACTCCAGAGGGAAGTTTCTTGTGCTTCGCTGTCATTGCTTTGTGTTCACGTGGGAATAAATGCAGAATATGTTGGAAAATACAGGGGGGGAAATGCATCAGTAGCTTGATCTAAAACCTAGGTTTTTAAAAGGCAAACACAATCCCATTGCCATTGCCTGCCTCCTTTCTTGAGTTATTTCTTCTAGACTCTGCTAGCTATTATTTTGTTCTTTTCGGTTCTTAGAAGCAGCAGCAAAGGTTCTGTTTGGTAGTATTCCCTGCAACATACAACTGTCACCTTTAACTTTTTCTGCTCTGCATTGTTCTTCTTGTTGGCCAAGTCAATAGCCAGATCTCCTATTACTTTCTGCCTACATCACCTGCCTTGAGAAGCGCTGTGTAGAAAAGGTATCTTCATCTACCGCCAGCTGGTTTTGTCTCACAATACTAAATTCGGGCCTGTTACAAATTCCTTTTCAGTGGAGACTCCATCACTTCTCATTTATAAGCCTATTCAATCACTAGACATGTCCATGCATCTGTTTCTTACCTGAAATGTTGGTAATAAAATGAGTCTGTTTTCAAGAGACAAAACTTCCTCTCTCCCTCCTACAGATACAGATAGGCCT